TTGTATTCTTCAAAGAATAGCAATTAATTCTGTTATTTATTTTGCTGATTTGGGGAGGGGAGAGAATTTGAGTATAGTTTCTTTATTCCTCTCCTTAGTTAATATGATGCCATAACCAATAATCCACAAAGACTAGACTTAAGTTATAGAGGCTATAATAATCTTGTCAAAAGCTATTTGGGAGGACAACTGATCTTCAGCCATTAAACTGAGCAACATGTGACAGTATACATAAATCTAAATGCTAACATGTTATTTTCTGTTTTTGTTTAAAATGTGACTCATGACTGCAAGATGGGTCATTTAGTAACCATGACCAATGTTATTAAACAGCTGTCATCTTCTATTAAGCAAGTTTAGGCATATCTGAATCCAGACTCTTAAGAATTCTGACTAAATAAAATACTGTTATTTGTAAACATGTCGCTGCAAACTTTCAGAATACCTGATAAGCCTCATATACAAATGTCAGAAACATTATATCACTGAAAAAAGTAAGTAATTTAATAATAGCTGTTTGGACTGAAAAAAAAACATGCACTAGTTAGTCTCAAAATTATGGCCTGCCTCTGCTACTCAGGTGAACAGTTGCAATGAGTTGAGGTGATCAGTGAACTTTAGTGAGACTACCTACGTGAGAGATGCAAGACTGAGGCCTTACTATAAAATGGTTTTCACAACTTTAAAAGTCTGTATAATGCTTAGTTAGCTATCTAATAACATTGATCATGAACAATATGCTTCTAGCCCACTATACAAATATAATACAAAGGAAGATGTAGCAGACTCAGACAAAGGATAACTTGCTGCCACGGTTTAAAGTATGGTGCCCACTCTTTTATATTAGTAAGTATAATAACTTTAGGCTCATCTAGACTATGCTAAAGCGTCGAAAGGGGATATGCAAATTCTGTGGCATCTCACTTTCAAAAACGGAGCTTTTGAAAGTGAAAGTAGTCAAGATGTGGTTTTTTCGCCAATCCCTCCTTTTTCAAAAAGCCACTTTTCCTCAAAAAATGAGTACACAGCTTTTCGAAAAAGGGGGAGGGGGAAGTTGCCAAAAAACAAGTCTTGACTACTTTCACTTTCAAAAGCTCTGCTTTCAAAAGTGAGATCAGAAGAAGATATGCAAATGCCACGGAATCTGCATATTCCCTTTCGACACTTTAGCGAAGTCTAGATGAGCCCTCTGAAAAACAAATATACATGGAGCTTTAAGTCTGCATAAATCAATATTCCTTCCAATCTCAGAATCTTTCTTCAAGCCACAAACTCTTCTAACTTTACAGAGATCCAGGAAGCCCTGTGCCTGTGCACATATCATAGTCCCCAGGATCCCTGATGCAGGTGGAGAATATATAGTTAATGAGGGCTAGCAGATGGTGCTGAAGAATATTTAGAATAGTTTCTGACTTTTGTAGAACCAATAAAAGTTGCTATTGTGAACCTGCAGACATATTTATCTCTGAAACTCCTTACATCAACTCTTAACATGCCTCACCTGCTTCCTGGCAACCTGACTCTAATGGCTTCTCTAGAGAACTCCTTAAAGGGGATATCCCTTTAAGGCAGTGGTCCCCAACACGGTGCCCATGGATGCCATGGCGCATGCAGGGGCATTTATGTGCACCCGCTGAGTGACCAGGGCCGGCCTAAGCCATTCTTGTCCCCCGGACCCCAGGTGCGCGGTGCATGCATGGCACCACACTGGCTGTGTAGCGCATGCGCGGCACCGCCCCAGCTGCGTGGTGTATGCACGGCCCTGCCCCCAGCTGTGTGGCTCATGAGTGTCCCTGCCCCCGGGCGCCCAGCAGCCCCAAAAGGTTGGGGACCACTGCTTTAAGGGAACTGGTTGGGGGCAATATGTTTTCACTGGTCTATCTACATCCAGCATGGGCCCACCTAATCCTCACCCCCTACTCCTGTGTGGATCCCAGGATAGGAGGATCAATTCCATGGAAATAAACTGGCCAAAGTGGAAGGGAACTAGGGCTCAAAGACCTGCGCCTTGAGGAACAATTTTGAACCAAAACATCATGTGAGAGATGCAATATAAGATACCTTATTTTAGGATGGGTAAATAAATGTTTTACTATTGTAAAAAAGATGTATTGCTGTCCCAGATGCATGGATTACATCACTGCATCATTCTTCACTGTTGCTGATCCTATTGCTGACTACATTCACTTATCCAACACAGTTATGAATGTTAAAATTCAAGCAGTCCATCCACATTTCACTGTTTTGTGAACATGCAAATGGTTCTGTTATACCTGAAAATTTTAGTGATACGGTAAGGCAGATTTTTGTTTTTATTGTAAATTTGCTTTACCAGGCTAGTGGGAAAACTAACGAAACTAAGGTGAAGAAGCACCTTATCTGAATCAACAAAACGAAATTTCACTGACCAAAATAATGTCACAGACGCACCTGTTAAGACATCAGGGATTTTAAACATCTTCAGACAAGATGACATTCTACCAATGGCAAATACATAATTCTCATGAGAACATTTTGAGAAAGCATACACACACACACAAAGGAGAAGTTAATACTTTCACACACCTTTACAACTGCATAATCACTTCAGCTTCTTTACCCTTTTCCATGATGGACTTGTGCTTCTTTTAAAGCTAACTTTGGTGTTTTATTTACCCCCACCCCAACCCCACTTAGGACGACAGGCCCAGTGCAGGGTACACCAGTTAGTCATGGAGTCTACTTTCACCCTAGAGCACAGACAAGAATGCTGGATTAATCTGACTGTGACTGTCAGTTCCACTTTATTTATAACTGAAGATGCATCTGAATAAAGACTTTTAGAGATTAAAAAAATGGTTACCTTTAAACAGTGGCCATAGAGAGGTGCTTCTCACCTGGCCCCCAGCTGTTGTGGTGAGAGAGGGCTGGGATTGTGCTCTCTCTCCCCTGGCAGCATGCATCGTGAACCCCTCATCCCCAGCCCCACCCCAGAACAATGATTTAAATGAAGAAAAGCAAAACTTGTTGGCGTTAAGGACCTGAGCAACACCAGGTAAATCTTCTAGTTGGTAAATAAAATAATGAATGGATGGGCTACTCCACCTATCACTCTCCTTTGGGATCCTTAAAAAAAAGACTTTGAGAGGAACACTGGCTATTGGAGAAAACTTTACCATAATGGCTGCAGCCCCAACTGTCTACTGGGGCTCCGGGTCTTTGTCATCCTGATCCCAACATTTGTTCTGTCCAGACTGGGCCAGAGGAAGTGCCCCAGATGATTTTGCCATCTCTACTAGCTCCAGCTGAATCCCACACATCACCTGGGATGTGAGATTTTTTTTCTCTCTCTCCTCCCACCCCAATAACAAAAGTCCTTTTCCTTCCTCATCTGATTTCCTCTCTTTCAAATCTTTCTCTTTTTGCCTTCTGTTTAATAAGACTTAGCCAGCCAAGCTGCTACAATATTTCCAGAAGTGAGATTGCAAGTGAAAGTCAATGCCAGAGATGTAAGTTTCATTTTCTACCCGTGCCATTCCTTTCTCTCTCCTTTGGCGTGTATGTGTGTCAAAGGAATGAGACTTTAACAGCGGCAGCAACAATAGTTCCAGCCCATCTCTACTAACTTCTCTTTTCCCCAAAGGATAATTTTTACCATCTTTAATACCACCCAAGAGACAATCTTTTAATGGATTGTTAGGATTTTTAATGCTATGTTTACTATGGCACTAAGCAGGCTGAAATCTCTGCACACCAATCTCCAAACTCTTCTGAAACTGTGTAATGTTGGACATTGATTTGGTTATGTTAATACTTTTGACTCTTTGGCCCAGACAGATCATCTGAATTAATAAACAACCACCCCATCTGGCCATTTCATCAAAACACTGGAACTTCCAACTATGTCAGTAATTTTGTTCATTTATCTTCAATGACTTCAAGACTATTTTGAACTGAAGACTAGTTTTGTATAATTAACGATGGTGATGAATGACACTAATAACACACTTATGAAGAATATCCATTGTCTAAAGCAGCGATGGGTAACCTAGGCAAGTGAGTTGTGTAGTGTAAACAAAATGTCTTATGGGCCACACATAAAACCTTGATGGGCCACAGGTAGTCCACCACTGAACTAAAGCAATATTCTACTATCTAAAAATAAATCTCTGTATGGAAAATATTGTCTTAGCTACTTTATGATTCAGTGTTTTGTTATTAATCTAGAGACTCGGGCTCCATCATGCAGTACCTACAATAAGTACCTTTACACTGCCATACCCTTCAGGGTAAGAAACACTATATCAGACAGCAGCAATTCATTGCTTAATTAACTTAGAATATTTTAAATCTTAGCAATTTCAGAAGAAGAGTACATTTTCCTCTCTAGCAATAATGATGTAAATCATTTTCACAAATATGTTATAAATTGGAGATCAGATATTTGCTAATTGAACAGAAAGGTCTAACTCCTTCCACGTATTCTTTATCCTCAATCCTCCCCCCCTCTAAGCCACTCTGGCTATGTCTAGACTGCAAAGTTTTTCCGGGATACGAAAAGCTCTGCCGTGTCCAGGGAATGCGTCTGCTTTTTCAGAAGAGTTTCCAAAAAAGCAGGCACATTCTTTTGGCATCACTGAATTCCTCATTTTATGAGGCATAAGGTATCTTCCAAAAATAACAAGCAGAAAAAGGTATGTTTGTTATTTTTCTGAACCTCTCCCCCACAGTAGACATAGCCTTTGTGGCTGGGGAATCTGCAAAGCTGCACATTCACCAGTCCTACTTCTTCCCCGACCCATGTTTTCCTTATGCCCAAAACTTCCCCTTGTGATAGAATACAAGGCATACCCACAGAGCACAGCTCCATGGTACACAGGTGACAAACATTCCCCTGTATAGAGGCTCACCAAACTGGTTCTGGTAGTGTTAAAGGTCTTCTGCAGAATTTATTCTGTCCACAGGATTTGGCCGAAAAAAGTTTTACTGCGTGACCTTCGCCACCCAATAAAGGAGCCTACCTTGTTCAATATTTCTTTGGTCAATACGGAAAAAGCATCTTCAATATTTATGTTATCTGTAGCACTGGTTTCAAAAAACGGTATACCATATTCCCATGCAAGCTGAAAAACAAATAAAGGCAAGTGAAGGACATGTAAAATACTATTTATAAAACAAAAATATTTGATAAAGTAAGTTTTCAATACAAGTAAAACTTAGATTACATTAATAATACATAAAGCATATCTTCATAAATGTATTAAATGTGATTCCATAGAAAAATTTCATATGCACCCTTAACTTACTAATTTCAGGAACTCTTAAAACATGATGAAAGCGGGAGGCTGCTCCAGCCTGGCTGGGCACACTGCACCATGGGCGCAGGGCTGGCTTTAGGAAGTGTGGGGCCCAATTCGAAACAAATTTTGGTTTAGGAAAAAAAAAAAAAAAACCAACCCAGCACATAAAGAAACAACTCATAACCCCTTTAAATCCCCAGTTACAGGGCAGAGTCCCGCCTTCCAGCCAAACCCAGGGGCCGACTCCCACTCCTGTGGTGCACAGAAGTCGCCGTGCTCCTCCTCTGGGGCTGACGCCCTCTCCAGCAGTGTGCCCAGCACATTTCCGGGTTTAGGGCACGGGGCCCTCTGGCTTTAGGGCACGGGGCCCGATTCAGAGGAATTGGGCGAATTAGCCTAAAGCCGGCCCTGCATGGCCGGGGGGCTGCGCTAAGGTTAACCAGTTAAACCTAGCGTTTAACCGGTTAACATTTTAAATTATAATTAACATCCCTAGCTAACATCTCTCCTAAAGACAAACTTTAATATAAGATCATACATCTCTTGGAATGCTAAGTATACTAAGTTCTTAGCAAAGAATTGTAACACGTTATACCTCAATGTTTATCCAAAGAAAGAAGTGTTTGGAATATTTATGATGCAGTACAGAATACCCATGCTATAAAACCCTTTGCAATATCAAACCTTGAGCTATAGAGAATATGATTCCTAGTTCCCACCTCTGACCCCACCCATTGTGGGAGGGGGAAGAGAGCTCCTACAGCCATGGGGCTGCAACGGGTGTGTTTGTGCGTGTGATATCTCCTTCAGTCAGGGACTGAGGCAGAGAGCTGACACGTCCTTCAACCTCTGGGCCACAGCCAATTGGGTTGCCGAGTGTCCGGTATTGATCCAGACAGTCCAGTATTTTCACCTCCTGTCTGGTAAAAACTTCAGAAAATACCAGACACCTAAAATGTCAGGTACTTTCTGATTTTTTTCCCAGCCAGGAGGCGAAAATACCAGGTGCTTAACTGGTTCTGTAGGGGAGTTGTCTGGCTCGGCCGCCGGCCAAAAAGCCTCAAAGGCATTTCTTAAAGGGGCCATGCTGGGTTTTTTAATTTTTTTTTTTTTTTTTTTTTTTTGCTTAAAACTCTCGGGGTCCTTTTATTTTTTTTCTCTATTCTCGTCTCTCAACAGAATTTTTTCCCTGGTGTTTTTTCTTGGGGGAAGGGGTTCAGTATTTTTGGTTAAGCCATCTGGCAACCCTAATGGCCATGTGTTCCTCTGGCCCCAGTGCCGTGACTGGGACAAAGTGTTCCTCCAGCTCTAGGGCTGTGGCAGATGTCAGAGAGCTCCTCCGCTCCTGGGCTTACTCAGCCCCAGAAGCCACTCTGCTCTGGACACACTTCCAGGGGAGGAGGATCTGTACCCTCCCTTCTCCTGCTATAACGAATCCCTGGGTATCCCGAACAAAAGGCTTGGATCCCTGGCATTCTTTATAACCAGGGTGTATAATTGCTGTTTGATATTGTTATTAGTGTAAAATCCTATTTAAAATTAAGTATCTGGAGACAAACAAAATAATGGCGGGCTCCTTCTTTGGCTAATGCTATATTCTGATGTAATGAGTTGCTTAAGGGAAAAGTCACCACCGTTATCTACTAATATTAATCCTCATTTTATTTACTCTTGAGGGACAGAGATAATGTTACTAGTTTTGCTTTTCAAAAAGCTAAAATTTCTGCCAAAATGAATGACTACAAAAAAAGAAAGTGACTTGTAATATATACTACTTCACACTGTCAAGATTAAAATGTATGATATAATGTCATCTTCCGAGCAGTAGAAGTAAGAGAATTACAAAGCCAAATGGTTTTAAAGAAATTCTCTAAATGAAATTGTGGTGGTCTACTATAAAATGAAATAGTGCGGCCAGACTTGAGGAACCTTCAGGAAGAGCCAGAATATAGGACAATGTTGCAGATTCTGTAAATTCTCCCAGCAGGATTTTACAAATGTATTATTCTTGTTGCTTGCTTCTTCATTGACAGAATTAATATTCTAAGATTTTATTTTTGTTAATACATGCTTTTAAAAATCGGCATGAGTGGACAGTGTTAGCTAAGTCAGAATTCTCTAGAGCGAAATCACATTAGAAAAAGAAACACTTAGTATAACTAAAGAGTGATTCACAACACGGGAAATCTGGGGAGCAGACTGGATGGTGAAGAGATAATGATGTGTTCAAAAAACGTGTTAAAAGAAATATATGGTTACATGGTTAAGCACTCAAATCAGAAAACACCACATTTAACAGTCTGTGAAACCTTAACACTGCCCCCTTGTGCATGTGCATTATAATAGTCTCCAAGTTACTTGATCACTTTGTTTGAAAAATGGTATGTAAATATACACATATAGCATCTTGTTATGACTCTGCATAGGCTAGATGAAGTCCATGAAAATCTTCCAATTCAAGGTGTATAATGAATGAGGGAACTGTGCCCTTTAAAAGGATACAACTTGCAATACAGATCACAGGGTGACATCACTATTTATTATTATTACTTTAGAGCAGTGGTTCCCAACCTTTTCGAGCATGTGGACCCCTTTTCAATCTGTTAAAATTTTACAGACCCACCTCCCCCCAAGGGGAGCAGTGGAAAGCGACAGCCAGAACGTTTGTTGACCCATGCTGCTTCCTCAGCTCCCACCCGAATGCGTCTCCTGCCCACTCACGGAGGATACAGCAAGAGAGCTCTTGTGGCCAAAGACAGCTCCTGCCCCGTGGGGCACTCCGCCCTTGGCTGGGCATGGAGCCCTGGGGGAGAAAAAAAAAAGAAAGGAAAAGAAGAGTAAGGATCAAGCCCAATGCAGGACTGGGAGGGAAGTGAAGGCTGGAGCTGAAACGGCAGCGCAGCTGGTGGTGGGAGGACGGATGGTGCCTCCTGGGGTATGAAGATCCCACCCTGAGGGCAGGAGGCAGCCTGTATGTAGCTAGTTGCGAATGGCGAGCCCCCGGCGAGAATCGCCTGGCGGAAAGTCCCAGTCCCGTGGTGGGCCCGATCCTTTCCTTTCCTTTCCTTTCCTTTCCTTTCCCATGAGCCCCTGGGGTCTGCAGACCACATGGTGGGAAACACTGCTTTAGAATTTTATTTCATGATCTGAAAAAAATGGTTAAATGCTTGCAGAACACCCTGTCCCATATAAAGTGTTCACCCTGCTTGACGGAGTGTCCACCTTATAAAAGAGATAAGAGCTGATTACAAACCTTATATGTGAATACAATTTTTAGCTGCAAACGCCAGTGTATGCTCAGAGTTATAGCTACAATATTGAGATGTGCCTCATTGATCTCCCAGCGGGTTCTGACAGAGAGTAACTTGCCACAGCTCTTTAAAAGGTTCCTACATAACCTCCCCCCTTCACAGCCCCCCCCCAGTTCCTCCCCCCGTCACAGCCCCCCCCCAGTCAGTTCCACTATTCTCATTTCCTTTCAAGTAAGTTGCACCCACATGTTATAAATTAAATGCTTATGAAACTTTAACTACACCCAAAAACTACTTTATTTTGAAGCACAGGCCCTTGGTTTCTGAGGCACAATGGCATAGCAATATAGAAATTTTGAGATAGCTCCATTCTAAAAAAATACATGTTTTGTTTATCTAAATGTGAAACCAAATAAAGCAATCAGTAAGTAGCCCTGTGTTATTATATTTTACCCAGTTCTCACATTTTCAGTTCTTCATGTGCTTCCAGATTTTTATGTTGACAGTTTATATTTGCACTGCAGAAAAGATCAGAGTGGAGTTGTGGGTACTGACAGCTGGGACTTTGGGCATCTAAGAGCAGGACTGATCAAAAATGCTATTTATATTTTATGAAAATTTTCTCAAAATCTTTTTTGTCAGAAGTTCTCAGAATCTATTTAGCTTTTCAGTGAAAGAAAACTTTATTGGTTTTTCTCCCCACTGGAAAAGTAAGATGCAGTTTAACAAGGAAGATAAAATTTATAAAAAGAAAATATCCCATTCTTTTTTTTTTTTTTTTGAAAACCTGAAATATGTTTTTTCAATAACTCCCTCCCCACCAAAAGAGCTCTTTCGCAAAAAGGTGTGTGTGGAAAAGGAAGAGGAAAAAGCACAGGTACCCTGATGGCCATTCTGTTCATAGTAATCACTGCTTACATGTGAGACAGCGTCCAGATTGCCTGAACACTATCTTTTGAAAAAACGCATCGCTTTTTCGATGCACTTTTGCAGTGTGGACGCTCTCTTTTGCAAGAAGATCCCTTCCAAAAAAAGCTTCTTGCGCAAGAAGCCTGTAGTCTAGAGCAGTGTTTCTCAATTTTTTTTATACAATATCCCTTTAAAAAATAATTATAATTACCCCAGTACCTACAATTTTCAGACACACAATTTTTTTCTACCATTGCAACACATTTGTTTAAACAACTTAATCATAGCCGGGAGAGTGATGAAATTTTTGGGTGTAAAAAGTACAAAAAAAATAAAGCACTGTAAACCTTAAAGCAAAAATTCATTTTTTCCCAAAATTCAGTTGTGTTGACGTACCCCCCCAGACACCTCTAAGGGTACTCGTACCACTGGTTGAGAACACTGGTCTGGACGTCGCCTACACGTGTCTGAGAAAATTATCAGCAGTGAAAGGGTTAACAATGTTGACATTCAAAGCTCTCTGGTCATATCCTCAATTAATATAAATCTGCAGAAAGTCCATTGACTTCACTAGAGCTTTTCTGTGGTACACTAGCTGTGGCTCTGGCCCATCTTCTTTAGAATTTATTGTTAATACTGATATGAATGGAACATCTATGGGTTATTGGTGCAGGCTGTCTGCAATTCAGGAAGACATTTCCATGCACATTTTCACAATGGCAAGGTCTAGAGACCACTCTGAAAACTGCAGAAAACTTAGATTTGGAAGCAAAATTCAACATGCAGCAAATTCCATGGCCACAGAACACAGATACTGCTGATTATACCTGGAATGCTATTTATTTATAAATTAGAACATTGCCCTGAGCTTCCCAATGCCTTGTGTGCCTAAGGCTACGTCTATACTGCTTCCTTCCTGTGCAAAAGCCTATGCAAATGAAGCATGGATTAGTATATTGCCGAACTTTATTTGCATAATTAATTAGGGGTCGTTTTTGCATAAGAGGCTTTTGTGCAAAAAGGAGCTGTGTAGACGGCTCCTTTTTGTGCAAAACTCCCCACTTGTGCAAGAGCCGTTCTTCCTCATTTTTTTCAGGAAGAATGGCTCTTGCGCAAGAGGGGGTTTTTGCGCAAAAAGGAGCCATCTACACAGCTCCTTTTTGTGCAAAAACCTCTTACGCAAAAACGGCCCCTAATTAATTATGCAAATTACGTGCAGCGATATGCTAATCCACGCTTCATTTGCATAGGCTTTTGCACAAGAGAGGTGCAGTGTAGACGTGCCCTTAGTGTGGTGTATTGGTTTAAAGTCAAGCTCCTTGAGGCAGGAACCATTTCTTCATCTAGTTTGTATGGTGTCGGTGCTGTAGAGAAAATGCACTAGGAAGTGTAGAGATGCAATGCTTTCTGTGCACTCCTTATAAAGCCTTTGGTTCCCTGTGATGCACTTTCTGCTGAGAAACCAAAACAAAGAAACGGAGTTCAGAGCAGTTGTAGGCTGAATCTATACAGAGTAGTAGAAAGTTTGTTGACTCATTGCTGTATGCAGCTTCTCTTAAAAATAATGGGTTTATCTTGGCACCAGTCTGCTTGTTATAAATATATACAGTGTCTAGAGCTATGTCTACACGAGAAAGTGTTTTTGGAAAAACTGATGTTTTCCCGAAAAATCTTACATCCACACTGCAATTGTGTTTTTTCGAAACAAAAAAATCTAAAGAACAAAGGGGCTTTTCCAACACTGGTAAACCTCTTTCTATGAAGAAGCTACCTTTTTCCTAAAGAGCTCTTTTGGAAAAAGGCATGTGTGGATGGGGAAGAGGGAGTTCTTTCGAAAGAAGAGGAAAGAGGAAAAAGCACGGGTGCCCTGGTGTTAGCCACTCTGTCCATAGAAATCACAGCTTAAATGCAAGATAGCATTCATTTAGTGTGGACACTATCTTTTGAAAAAGCAGATAGCTTTTTTGATGAGCTTTGGCAGTGTGGACATTCTCTTTCAGAAGAAGTTTTTTCGGAAGATCTCTTCCAGGAAAGCTTCTTCCAAAAGAAGCCTGCAGTCTAGCCGTAGTCTAGCACATTGTTGCAAACAGTATTGTGGCAGACTTGTTGGTCCTAGGATATTAGAGAGACAGGGGAATAAGGTAATATATTTTCTTGGATCAACTTTTATTGATGAGAGAGAAAAGCTTTCAAGCTTATGCAGAGCTCTTCTTCAGGTCTCTCTAGCGCACTGCTGGTATTTCAGCCAACACTTTCAAAAGTGGCCATTGATTTTGAGACATGTTGGGCCTCATTTCAGAAAGGAGAAGTACCTGCAGCTCCTACTATTTCATTTCTATACAGACATTCACATGTATCCAAGCAGCTACCACTGTTAATTTCAATAGGTTTATGAAATAATTTTGTCTCAGTGTTACTTGTCTGAAAGATTCTGAATCCCTTGCTACAGTTACAACATGAACCAAATAAGTGAACATATCCTAGTAAATATCTTGTAAAATTCCTCAGTCCAATTAGCATAAGTATAAAAAACAATGGAAACAAAACAATAAAAAAAAATCAGTCCCACTGTGAAGGATACTAAAAATAAGCATAATTAATAAATGGAGGGATAGAGATGCAACAGCATGAGCCCTCAACGGACAAGACTCTGCATCATACTCTTTAAAGATAGTGGGTCACAAACTTGGTTGTTTATATAGGTGGTCCTGCGTACTCAATATGAGAAAACAGTGTATTAAGCTGCTGCCTATGATATATGTAAACAGCAGCAGAGGGTGTCAGAGAGATTCATTGGCCTATAGCAGCAAATGGGTGTTCTCTGGGCCTGATTTTGCTCTCGATAGTTTTAGAAGAATTGTATAGACTCAAAGAGGTATAAAAGATACAATGATGCAACTCTAGACTTTCTGTTGCTTTGCTGTCTGGTGAGGAAGACAATGAAATCATGCTTCAAAGACAGCAAAGGAAGAGTCATAGATTCAGTTGTGGAAGATTACTGATAGATCAGGTTTCAGAAAAATGATGTACAATGTTCCCTCTAATCTTTTCCATCCATGTATATAATAATGTTATATGCACCAAGGCATATGCGAAAGTGCACCAACAATAGAAACATAAAACCTAGCTGTGGACACTCTGCTAAACAGCTGAGCGGTATTTGAATTTCTCCTCAGTGTCCACATATGAACCCAGCTTACAGGGAACACTAATGAGGAATGAAATAAGTATTGTATTTTAACATTCCACTTAAAAACAATAACCTGAAAATGCAGACTCCAAAATATTTTAAAAGTCTACCTTTGAAATAAGAGAGTTTTCAGATGTTATACTAGAAAGTGTATAATAAATATGTTTTAAAGTTAAACTTATATAATAATCCGTGCTCTAAATATAGCAAATAGTAAAATTATTTGCCATATTCTGCTCATATATTAAACAAGTATTCTTTCATATCAATTCATAACAAAATCTTTGAACCTCAACAACATATTCCACTTCTTAAGGTCGTAATAAATGCAAAAATACTCTGCAGGGCTAGGAGAAAACACTAGTGACCAATGCTTACCTTTTCCCCTCTTTGTTTTGGTATTACCCGTTCTGCCTCCTTATCACACTTGTTGCCCAAGAGTACTATATCCACTTCGTCACCTGCTTTCTAATGACGAAAGAAAAAACAATATTAACATATATCACATTTAAAAAACAAAATACAAACCTCTTTTTCATTCTATCAGCATTTTATTTCTTTGAAATAAAGGTCTAATCTTTGCCCTGGCATTTTCAAGGATGAGTAGAGATGCTACCCAGAGACCTACAAGGATCCCGATGACCAAAGCAGGACATCACAATATAGAGTAATGCAGAGTGGCAGAATGTGATGGAGTAGAGTATAATTCGCTGATTCTTTGAAAAGGTACAAGGTATATAACCTCCATCTTTTGATGAAAGCTTGATGCTATTGATATGGGAGGCAGGAAATGCCTCCAACTGTCAGGCAACCACTCGTAGAGGAATGTGATGCATGAGCTGGTGCTATCTGCTGGCACTCATGAGTACAATGGAATGGTCATATTGTTTGAGCACAGGGGGTGTGACAAGAGGCTCCTGGAACCTACTCTACCTTCCATTCTTGTACACTAGGGCTGTGTCCAGACACAGGGGTTTTTTCGAAAAAACTTCACCTGCGTCTAGACTGCAGCCGTGTTCTTTCGAAATTAAATCGAAAGAACGCGGCTTTTCTTTCGATGGCGGTAAACCTAATTCCACGAGGAAGAACGCCTTTTTTCGAAAGTGCTCTTTCGAAAAAAGGCTTTCTTGAAAGCAAACAGGGCTTTTTAGAAAGTGAGCATCCAGACCCACTCGCTTTTTCAAAAGTTCCGCGTGCAGTCTAGACACTCTCTTTCGAAAGAGGCTTTTTCGAAAGTATCTTTCGAAAAAGCCTCTTTCGAAAGAGGCTTGCAGTCTAGACATAGGGTACACTGCAAGAATATCCAACTTCTCTGTGATAAAAGTTAGATTATTCCAAAACCTTCTAACAAAAAGCACCTATCATCTTATCCTACTCTCACTGAGATAAACAGCAAAATCTCATCAACCTCAAAAGAAGCAAGATCAAGCCTACTCTCCTTTGTCTTCCTTCAGTTCTCCTGCTAATCCAGCTAAAGTACATAGTTAGATGCCTTATTATATTATCATTATTTTAGGCCAGGCCATCATAACTGTGCGTATGTGAAGTGGTGAAAAGGGAAGCGAGAATTTCAGCAACTGAACCTGAAACTTGCCAACTGTCACATGCTCTGAAATAAATAAAACTGCTTTCTGTGACTTGACTGAGTGGAATTGATGCTTTCAGTCCAACCCCTAGTGCACTGAGACCCCCATTACAAAATACCACACTCACAGCTATAACAGATGAAAATGCTTATCAATATCAAAAGAGACCAGAGAATGAATGGGCTTGGAGAATGAGTTGCCCTAAAAGTGGCCCAAATAGGTGACAGTTAGGTAAGTTTACTTTGCTACAGACAATACAATTAACTTAGGGTATGTCTACACTACCCTGCTAGTTCGAACTAGCGGGGTAATGTAGGCATACCGCAATTGCAAATGAAGCCCGGGATTTGAATTTCCTGGGCTTCATTTGCAAAAGCGGGGCGCCGCCATTTTTAAATCCCCGCTCGTTCAAACCCCGTGCCACGAGGAGTAACGGTAGTTCGAACTAGGAAGCCTAGTTCGAAGTACCTAGGTCGTGCCGCGTGTAGCCGCGTGGCACGGGGTTCGAACGAGCGGGGATTTAAAAATGGCGGCGCCCCGCTTTTGCAAATGAAGCCCAGGAAATTCAAATCCCGGGCTTCATTTGCAATTGCGGTATGCCTACATTACCCCGCTAGTTCGAACTAGCAAACAGAAACACTTCAGTCTGTTGTAGACTCATCACTCCCAGGATACTCAGCAAGCTTTAAGTGCTAGTCTACATTAGAATCGCTAGTGGCACAGCTGTACAGATGTAGCTGTGCCACTGTAGTGCTGCTAATGCACTCACCCTATGCTGATGGGAGCTCTGCCATCAGCATAATTACTCCATCTCCCTGAGTAATCTTGCAAAAAGAACACTGACCACAATGGTGCTGAGGATAGTAGGTACAACTTACATTGCTCACAGGCGTGGCTTTTTCACACCTTTGAGCAACTTAAGTTATACTAAAGTGAGTGCTAGTGTATGTATACAAGTCCCAAAAGGCTTGTAAGGCTTCCAACATGCACACACCTTCAGAGAAAATAAAAAAAGAATCATTATTCATTGAAAGATCATAGAATCATTATTTATAGTCTACTTGCACTTTTTACAGCTAAGTTGCCTCCTTAGAAAAGTATGGCACAAGGCACAATTATTTATTATTAAGATATACCATTTCATTTTTTTTAATCCGCTCTCATTTTAGTCAGCTAATCTTGTTTCATTACTTTAGATGATGGTCAAAATAATGTTATATTAAAATGAACTAAGCTCATCATAAGAGTACAAAGTACAGACCTAAAGTAATAAATCAATCTAACCTGGATTAATAGACCAAAATGCTGGCTGTTTCAGAATGCACTGGAGCTTTACTCATTAAGGTTAATGCTTCTCCTACATAAAATTACATATTTCAGTCCCTAAAATAGGATATAGTAAATAGACAATTTAAACATACCACATAATCAACTTATTTTGAGAGATTTTATGTATCTAATTTTTTAATTACATTTGACTTTACTTTGAAGAAAAAGTAAAAGGAAATATTAATACTTATTGTGCAAAAAATATGGTATTCATGATTTAAATGAATTAACTTCTGAACATTCAAGACACAAATAGTCTTACCTTAGAAATGTTCTTTTAAAACAATTTCACTTCACAAATAACAACTAAAAAGGCCTAAGACAGCTCTTTCAGACAACTCTTTCAGAAATCTATTTTTCTATGCTAATGTAATAATAAGATTAGATTTTATAGCATTTTTTCTATCAAAGTTTTCAAAGTGTTTTGCAAAGACAGTATTATAGCTGTTTTCTGAAGTCTGACAAAACTGCTAGTCACTGGCCACATCTTCATTTTGGGAAACTACACAATAAATGTTAAGCTGAACTTCTAGCTTCATTTTTTCAAAAAGATGATTAAGTAGATGATCCTCCTGAAAATGGAAACCACTACAAGCTACAGAAATCTGACTCTGTAGCCAGATCATTAGCTGGGGAAAATCAGCATCCGTGGTGCTATGCTGATTTACACCTGCACAGAATATGTCCCTCTGCTTTTTCCTAAAAAAACTTCAGGATATTCATGGTTTTTCCTAGTGTTACTCAGGAATATCCCTTCAGACTGAAAAACCCATAGCCAGAAGTACCTAACTTCTGGGAAGTGGTGGTGGGGAGGAAATTAACCCCTAAGTAGAGTTAGCAGCTACAAATGTGCTATGGCCAAAGTTGCCACTGATGAAGCCTCTGTACCACAAGTAGGAATGGGCAGGAAGTGGTTTTTGCATTCTCCAATTTATTTATTTTTTAAATTTTGAAAATGTTTTCCATCCCAAATCAGAACCAAAAGTTGAACTCTCAAATATGTTAATGACCTAACCAAGAAATAAAAAATAATACAGTTTCTGTCAGTCAAAATAAATGGTTACTCACCCTGTGTAATAAGAGTAGTTTTTCAAAATATGTATCCCTACAAGTACTAGTGCCCTCCTGCGACTTCGAACAGAGATTTCTTATAGTAGAGTCCCATTTGTCTTTATTGAGCAGTGTCCCTACAGGCTCTCCACTCTAGGAGTATGTCTACACTACATCACTATTTCGAATTAACTTAATTCAAAATAGTTAATTCGAATTAAGCTAATTCAAAATAATGCATCTATACACAAAAACTATTTTGAAATAGTCCCCTGAAGCTGGGGGACTTTGCTATGGACTCTGGTTAGCTGGTCACGTCGTCCTGGCAGGTGGGACCATAGAGAGACAACCAAAACTATTGAGTGAAATGGTGTTGAGCTCAACCACAGGGCCTACACGTAGAGAAGGACAGGCGTAATGCCACCTGACCACTGTGAGACTGGGATAAAAAATCTGCCTGCCCTCCTGGGAGAGGTGATGGAGAGCTATGTGAAAAGTTATCGAATAGCAACCAGCCAGCTGAGTCAGGTAAGGAAACCATGTTTGTCTGGGCCATGGCAACACCATTACGTTGACTCTGGCTCTTTCTTTCTTTATTTTGAGCATAATCTTGACTATTAAGAGAACTGTTGGGAATGGCTGACAGCCACTCAAAGTGAAAAGCACCCCCTACAGACTGTTGACCCAATGCACCCTTCAAGCAGAAGTTCTTGTTTGACTCTGTGGTGAAAAAGTCTACCTGAGGGGTATTAGTACATTTACTCGTGTTGTTCATGTCGGTAAGGAGGGGCTTAGGGCGAGAGTGTGGGGACTGCAGGTCAGGGAGCTGCAGGATACAGGGTTTGAGGGTGAGGAGGAATTGAGGGCAGGAGGTGGAGGGTGCAGGCCAATACCCGGGGCTGACTGGGGCGGCGGGTGATATGCTGCTCCACTGCCAGCTCCCTGGACTGGCCAGGGGGTGTGCAGTCTGGGTGCTGGCTCCCCATGGCTGGCCAGTGGCTGCACTGCCTGTGCACCAGCTCCCCAGGGCTGGCTGAAGTAGTGGAGGTGCAGTGCCTGGCTGGCAGATCCCGGGGCTGGGATCAAATGAGGTTTACAGGATCTTTCGAAAAAGCGCCCCATTTTCAAAAGAACTGCATCTAGACTGCGGTTTCAAATTCGAAAGAGCGCTTTTTCGAAAGAGCGCCATTACATGATTATGGGATATTTAAATACCGGCTTTATTTGCACTTTCAAAGTGCTTCATTTACATCCCTCTGCCGACAGAGGTAGTCTAGACGTAGCCGAACAGTGCACAAGTACTTTTAAAATCTGTATTATATGAATATAAAATTATAAGGTAGATGTTTTAATGGTCTCAAAACTCATATTTGACTGACTAATGTGCAATACAAGAGTTCTCTAATAATACCTTGTACTTTACAAATGAAATTGCATTATACAGTTAATGAAATCTGCACTGTGGTTTTGCCTGCACACTCCTGTGTATTTTTAAACTTACGGTAGCAATAACAACCTTAGCACTGAGCATTTACTGGGGATTAATGATTCGTTTGGATTATGGCCCTGGCGCAGGAGGGGACCTCTTTTCCCAGTCAGTAATTAATTTTCATGAAATGCTCTGCATTTTAATAGTTATTGCTTAAAAACACATCTTTTACAATGAATGGCCCAATATATTTTACCCAAGATACTACATAAATTGACGATATACTAGAGTGGGATTAAGTGTTTATTATTCCTTATCTTCAATTATGAGACCCACTAATTGGCTGTTTCTAGGCTGATCTGCAACAATCAACTCATTCACATACATAAACATTATTTTAAATTGAAATTTTTTTCCACTGTCAATCTAATCTAAGGAACTAGAACTTTATGAGGAAAGGTTAAACAAGATAAATATGCACAATATGAATAAGCATCCAAGGGAACATAAGAGTATACACAAAAAAAGGTATAATCAAGAAAAACAGAGAGGAGCTGTGTAGTTTCATACAGGTTGAACCTCTCTAGTCCAGCACTCTCTGGTCCGGCAACATCCATGGTCCGACAAGATTTTAGTTAGCCAGATGTCCATTTATCATGGGTGTGGCCAAGTTTCCTGTGGTCCCATAAAGTTTTTTTACAGCCACCAGCCCTGGCTCTCAGTGTTCTGTGCTGTTAGTTAGCTTTAATTTACCCCAAATGTCTTTTAAGAGCCTAGTAAGCAGTGGAAGTGTTGGTAATGCTGCTAGACAGTACCAATCTCCTGTGGTTCGGCAAATTCTCTGGTTTGGCACTGATCAGGTCCCAAGGTTGATGGACTAGAGAGGTCCAACCTGTACTTGTGACTAGATAACTAGCAGCAACTAAGAGTAACTAGGAATAATGGGGTGATCTTCTTGATAAAAAGCTAATTAAATCATTGGTGATGGAAGCCCTATAACGTGAAATATTTAAAACCCGACTTGACAAAACTCCAAAAAACAATTTAGTGTTGATAAATGGATAGTCTGGATTACCTACTTTCTTTTTTACTCTCTAAGTAAAAAAACTTATAACAGTAGTATATCGTATGCAAGGCCAGAATGGAATAAACTCAGGCAAAAAGCTTTTATCTGGAGCTCTAATGACAACTGTCAAGTATTTATTAAAACATAATAAATGTGGTAACTATAGGGGGAAAAAGATGTTAACTACCCTGAGCAAAATGTCAACTGCAATTAGATAGTCTTACCTCATGTATATCTTTCATCCAGTTTGTTATACCTTGAAAACTGTCTGAGTTTGTGATGTCATAAACCAGAACAAAGCCACGTGCTCCACGAAAATAACTAGTGCTAATTGTATGGAATTGTTCCTGACCAGCAGTATCCCTGAAATACACCATACAGAAATCACTTGGTATAGCATACGCTGAAAGAGCATGGATGTTTTTTCAGTGCAATTTAAAGAATACAGCCCCAATTTTGAGCTATGCCTTCTGAGAGAAAAGGGGTAGAATACAAACCCAGGCTTATCAGTTAAGCATGTAACCAACTACATGCTAACATCCCTACTTGCTAGCCCTCACCCAAAATCCTAAATCTGACCTTATATATGTTTGTAGGATAATACATTATTTAATTTCAAATCTCTTGATTTTTTTAAGTTAAACATTGAAATAAAGTAGTTTATATTTAGAATTTAATATAGGTTTACGTTTTATCCATGGCTATAATAACTTCATGTTAAATATTTCTAAGAGAACTGATTTTTTAAAATGTACAAATTGCTATAAACATTATAGCTTCCTCTTCTAATTCAAGTTTTAATATGCTCTATTAAATAATCAAGACAGTGAAGGAAAACAAATAATCTCAAAGCTGGACAAAATTTTGTACAGTGTACAGTTATATAATTTAGCTGGCTTTCATTTGTGGGACAAATTATAACTTACCATATTTGAAGTTTCACTGTTGTATCATTAAATGTTATTGTTTTTACTTTAAAATCAATGCCTAAAAGAAATAAGAAAATCTGTTACATGTCTTGAGATAATATTGATTTCTTTTGGAAACTGTTTGTAAATACATGTTGTTTTGTGGATGTAGAGAAATGGAAACACACTAACCAAATGAAAACACCAACCAAAAATATCCTAAACCACTAATTGCATACAAACAAAACAGAGGTAGAGAAAAATCTATTAGAGTTCTTTTTGAGACACATCTGTAATTATATTGAAATTAACTATCAAACTGGTCAAAATTTTATATTCAGTCACTCGTTGTGCATTGTCAACTCAGAAAGTATAGCTACAAACCAGCATTAGCTGGCAAGTGACAAGACAACTGTTTGATGGTCCATGTACAAAGCAGTTACAGTATTGGCAATTTCTACTAAGGGAATCAGTCCCATAATAATAGTGCTGCAGTTCTGAATGGAAGCTTAGTGACAAATGCTTACATGGCATTTGCTCACCCTATGCCATTCTTTAGCCTTTACCACAACATTACTGAAAAGAAGTGTCCAGGATTACATCAACAGGACTAGAAAATAATTAACTGAATTAATTAGATACAAAGATAAGTCGGCATGCATTCAAGTTCAAGTAAAGAACATTTACCGCTACACTACCCTTCCATCAAAACATCAATACCTCAAAATCCCAAATGTTTTGGTTACTGAAATCTATTTTGGACCTAGCATTATTGCATGCTGCCTCTGAAGCCATTATGCTGTTTTCCTCATAGATGTTTTTCTCTCTAACTTACATATTTTTCATTACTTGTATAATCACAAATAGCACACAAAAATCCTCTTAGGTGCCATACAGATGGGAGGATGCATATCTTGTCCATAGGCATTTACAATCCAATAAAAATGAAACTCCAAAAAATTGCATTGGAGTCTACTACCTACTGAAGTATGAATGTCCAAAATAAAAGGAGTTACACAATACTTTCCAATGACTTTTGCAGTAACATTTTAAAGGAAATATTTCAAATGCATTTAAGCCCCAAAATGCAATATTCACTCTAAAACCTCTTCATTCTGTTCATTCAGGACAGAGCAACTAGGAGAATATATAAATAGGCAAAACAGTATGTATTTCAGTCACATGAGCTCAGCTGAATTTGCTTAATGAAACTGAGAAGCCCTGTTAAAATGCAGGTTAATATGTCTCAAGCTGTGTTGGTGGCCATACAATAACCAAGGCTTCCCATTAAGTTAAAAAAAAAACCAGAGCTAACTAACATGACTTCAAATGCGTCAGCCTACATCTCAATGGGACTTTTCAACTGTGTTAAACTAATTTGATTGGGTTAACACAATTGAAAAAATACATCCTTTTCGTATGTAAGAAAAGGCCATATTGTGTTAAAGAGCCAAAAAGAAATTTTATAATGGGCATCAGTTTAGTTGGGAACCAGAGTACAATTCTGGTTTTGGTGCTACCATAGTATAGATAAATAAATACCTCACACCATGAAGAGAGGTTATATTACATTTCAGACCCTACAGGACACAGTCATCTGCAAGTTATCTTACTTTCATGTTTATGAGTGAAGCCTCAGCCTATCAGAATCAACCATACTCAGAAGTCTATGCCTACAATATTCTTGAACTGTTGTACCACAGCTCTTTTTTTCTGAAGTAAATTAGCACCATCTTTAGATCGCATTGAAAGGATATCCCTAATAGTCTGTCTTCTATAAGACTTAAATTTTCTTCTTATCCCTTAGCTGTGTATTAATAGTCATAATTCTAGAAATCTCCCTTAACGTTGACAATTTTAAAATAGAACAAAACTGTCCTTTGTAATTTTCCTAAAATAACTCCTGATAGAAAAGGGCCATGAAAAACGTCAGGTTTGGCAGTTGTGTTCTGGTGAAGTTTGTGATTTAGACAGAGGGGCAGAGCTTAGATTCATCACACAAATAGCAGACTACCCTATCTGCACCTCCCGCATGCATGTCACTTTTTTTCCTCCGTAATCTCAGGGTTTCTTTATACAAACAGGGGTGCTGGAACACTTTTCTAGTGGGAGTGTTCAGAACCACTGAACCAAACTATAAACCCTGTAAATAATGGAAACCACTTCAAGCCAGGTGGTGCTGCAACACCCCCACGCCCTTTGTTGCAACACCTATGTATATAAACATTTAGTACATGGCAAGTTTAAGTGTGAATACAGGCAGTCCCCGAGATACGCGGATCCGACTGCAGACCAGGGGGACGGGGAGCAAAGCAGAGCAAAGCCGCGGAGCCCGAGGGCAGCAGGACAGCCACGGCGCGACTGGGCTGTCCCGCTGCCCCCGTGCTCCGCGGCTTTGCTCCGGACGCCTGTGGTACAGCAGCTGGGGCACTGCCGGTTGGTCCCGTAGCGCCGCTCTGGGCGCTACTGGACCAACCCGGCAGCACCCCAGCTGCTCTGCCC